AAGCATGAAGGAAGAGTGAGAGTGAAGCATGAAGGAAGAGTGAGAGTGAAGCATGAAGGAAGAGTGAGAGTGAAGCATGAAGGAAGAGTGAGAGTTGACTCTAGCTCCTACAGCAACCTCTCGTAGCACCCAAAACCCAACGGAAGCACACTAATTAATGACCAATCCTATATTATACAGCATTTATGTGAAGGTGAGTTGTACATATAGGTATTTTGCTCTAGTTCAGCCATATTAACTTTATACTCAAAATTACAGCTGAAAGTGTTACTGAGTACTGCCAGTTAAACAAAAAAACATACTAAAGAGAAAAACCATTGAACAACAAAGATAAGAGAACCAAAATTAATGATACCAAGTCCAATAATCAAACCAGATCAAATGGTGAGAGGCAGTGTGCTACCGCTACACGGTACCCTCGGGTTAGGAAGAGTGTAGTTTCCTACGCACGTTAAAATATTCTATATGTAGTTTTACCTTTCTCTTTTCCTTTTAAAAACAATTTGTCCATGGTATAGGCCTGCAGAGATTGGACTTTTCTGATTCCCAGGTGACATAGGGAAAGGATGAGCCACCGCCATACGAGGGCTGTGACTTTCAGATGTTCTAGAGTAAGCATGAGAAATAACTCCTCCTCTGGGACTGTGGCTTTCAGGGGATCTTTCAGATTTCTGCAAAGAAAAAAGCACTAAAAAGGTTAATGGGAATATACATTGTGTGATTTTAAGTTAGGAACCAAGGATTAGGGGCATGGTGCAAATAACATTTTAGATTACTAATTATCTGGACTAGTAGATTACTTTGCTAGCTGGCTACTAGATTACTCTGCTAGGCTATAATATTGACTAGTAACACTGAAAATGTTAGTGTTGAGAACTGTATACTATTGCTTGTTCTGAAGCTAGACCACAGGTATCCCAGAAAATGAAGACCTTTTTTACACATAAAAAGGACATCTGGAAAAATATGGGAGGGGAGGGGAGGGGGTCATGCACATTCAAACTTAACTGAGAACAAAACCAAGAGAAAAAAATTCTAAAGTAGTGTGTCATTGTTGTCTTAAGCAGGAAGCACTTTATATTTATTGAGTTGGGAGGGAACTAGAAAACTAGTATGTATATTCTGGAATAGTATACTATCATTACCTGTGATCTTGGTGAAAGGTGCAAATGCCTTTCATCATCTAAAAAGAAAGAAATTTCATTGAAAAAATTCAATATAATCATTCTTAACTTTTCTGTCATACATTATAACAAATAGAGGAAGAATAAAATACTTTGCCATAAGACAGCTAGTACAGTGCGCTATTGTAAAACTGTGGAATGCATTCTATGATATATCAGTCATTTTTAAATGTAGTAAAACAGAAAATAATCACTATAGCTATTAAGAGCATGTGAAAATTATTCAAACTTTGTAGTTTAAAGAAGAAGAAAAATATTTTCAAAACTTGCAAAGATATGATTTTTGAAAAGTGTGATTTTTGCAAGAAAACCTTCATGGGATCGGAGCATAGAAAACTTGATTCTTGAAAATTTGAAAATTCATATCTTTGAGATTCCACCATTTTTCTAATTTTAACATTATCTTTTCAGCTATGGTAATTAAAATTCTTCTGTCCTGTTAGTTTTAGAATTACATGATTGAAGCTTATTGTCACTGTTAATCAGATCCAAGAAATACCCAGAGCCCACATAAAAAGCAATAGAACTTCAATAGAGCAAGGAAATCTGAAGAGGAAGTTCTAGGACATTCTGGGGGAAGAAAGTGTAAGATAATTCTATCCTTATCAGGTGAATGATTGATGTGCATGATTTCTGGACCTATTAGAATTTAGTTTACCTGAGGAAGATGCGTTTGTTGTTCTGCCAGAGGAAATATAAAGTGAGTTTCTAAACCAATCTGCAGAATTAATATTGAAACTCATTAATCAAACTTGTTTGTCTCTGATCAGAACCTCTACTAAAGGTCTACTAATAAGAAGCAATAGGCCTCTTAAATTTGGACATAATGTTTTCCCATATTTTTCAGACCACATGTCATTCTCTTGGGAATAAGATTTTATGTTTGAGTTGTATCCATTTTAATGTGTCTTCTCCGCCTGTGCAACTGTTAATAAAGAAATTGTTCTCTAGGGAATGACTGATGAAATGAAATTGCAAAACATTTTGCCCAAGGTAAAGATGTCTGGCGTACAATTTGTATTTTCTGAGATTTTCATTATTCTGGAAACTGACTTATTTCAACGGCTTGAGAATGAGTCTTTTTATGGCTTGATATTTATCAAAAATTAACATTTCAGTATCACTGGTGAAAACAATCATCAAAAATGTGCTATTTTAACAGGTAGTTTGGAAATTGGTTCTTGTTGCTGTCTATCAGAGTTTTATTGAATCAATCAATCATCTTTATTGAGAGATGGTGACAAGTGACAATAACAACTGATAAGCTTATGGGACCACATTTTTCATTATCATCCAAGCCGTGGCAAAGGTCTAACCATTTGCAGATATTTTTAGAGCAATGGCAACAATTTCTACTGAGATATTTTAAGACCTTGAGTGTTGGTCCAGCTGAGGCTTGAAACATGACCTCCCACACAATAGTCCTATGACCAACCAATTGAGCCAACAAGGAGGCGGTTGAATGCATATCGCCCAGACTCAATTTACAGATCAAAAGCAAAATGAAAGATACACCAACATGTAGTATTGAAGTCTCTAGTTTGCATTTGGTTTTAGTTCAGAAAATTACGTTTTTGTATTGATGGGACCAAAAAATGAATGTCATAATTTTCTGAGTTCAGAGAATATTTAGAATTGCAGTAAATGTAAAACAGTTAGTCTTACATCCAGTGATGGCAGAGGTCACTACCAAAACATGTATGTTAAACTCAAAAGTGTAGTTCTGTTCTTAAAATGCTTAACTTCACTGATTACCTTCAGACCAAATGTAGAACAGTTAGCATTCCCCATCAACTAACTATTATGAAACAAATGTGGTTGTGCTGCAGTAAAAAGTGTAAACAGGCCTTAAGAAAGAGGGGCAAAAGTTACCCTCTTTCCTACCCATGGACCAATTCATGATTTAATACATGTATTCCACAACAAGGAGAAATCAATAAGAATAAAACCTTGCTAGAACACTCACCAGGAGGTTGTACCCTATCATAATGATAAGGATTCACACAAACTTTTTCATGCTTAAGGTCATAGCCGTACTGACAAAATTCTTTATGTCTCATCTCCATCTTGTGCACGTCAGCCCATCGCCATAATCTGGCATAAATAACATGAGGAAAATCTTTCTTTTCTCCTACTTGGAGTCTGCCATCCATAGTTCTTGGGACAGTGATACATTTTGATGCTGTCCTTCCTTTAGAAGTAATTGCAACAATTAAAGAATCTAGCTCATGGTATTTTTTTTTAAGTTTTTTCACTAGTGATTCTATTGCCCTTCTGCTGAAACTATCAGCTTCTGGGCTTTGATGCCGTAGTACCGAATGCCAGAGCAAATTGCGAACAATGATGGGACAGGGATCTGCTGAACATGGTATGGAATTGGAAGATGGGTGTGAGTTTGTTGAAACCGTAGGTCCGTAGTGTGAAGACTGTTGAGGTTCATATACAGAGGTAGTAGCAACAGTAGAAGGGGAGTGTTGGTCTTTAACGGGAGAATCTTCTGATTTTTCTGAATTTGATGACAATGATTTAATGGGTAAACTTGAAGCTGGAAGATGAAAAAAAGAAAAAAATTAGGATTATTTAAAAAAATGGACTAAAATGGAAAGTGGATAAGCATGATGAAGAATTGCACTGAATGACAATTTCTAAAATCAAGTTATTCAACACATGACAAGAAGTTTAGTGGTGTGGTGTAAATCCCTTTTTTTCCTTTTATTGCCATTTTCGATATTCTGCAACCCACATTTCAGGGCTTGCTGGAAGTTGTTTTTTTACTGCCACCCATCAAAAACGTAAAAGGTATCAACTGATTATTTTTGAGTGACGGCAGAAAAAAACAAATTTAAGTGCTCAGCTTGTAACTACCAAGTTCATAGAATATGGAAACCGCAGTAAACTGGTTTTCCATTTTCAATATTGACCACACACTAGTGCTACATTTAATATTCTACACATGCAACTCTCAAGTCATATGGTGATTTTCGTGGCAAGAGCAAAACTACAGAACACAAGGAAAGTAAACCCTTGAAGCAAGGGAGGAAACAGACCAAACAGACTGGGTCTTTCAGAATGTTTTGGAGTAAGTGGCCCAAGTCTGTGGTTTTTACGAGGGTAGCATGCAATAGCCAGTGGCTAACAAACCTGTGGCCCTCATTCCATGATCAAATTGCAATATAGAAGTTGATTTTTTGTGGAGGGAGGAAAATGGAAGAACCTGGAGAAAAACCCTCAAAGCACAGGAGAGAACCAACTACACGTAGACACTCTACTCACATACAACACTGAACAGTACAGGACTTGTTCGCATAAATGAGAGGTGAGCGCTCTCACCGCTACGCCACCCATGCTTCCTGATTTTAGCTGTCTTTGATTCTAAACAAGAAACTGAAGGTTCTTATTGAAAAGAAAAAGTAGCAGGTGCTTAACTTTAAAGCCATCGCCAGAGCTCTGACAGATGCAGGCTATTCAAAAAGCCCTTACAAACTTTATTTACATGTAGCATCACTGGATTTGAGTCAGCAAAATAACTCCCAGTGGTAAAAGACATATTTTCCTGCTACACCACTGTTTACTTGCCACCTTTGATGCCGTTGTTTCATGTTGATTCTGTTAACTTCCTGATACAGCTGATGCATTATGTTCAAATGGGATTTGTTAAAACATTAAATAACTAAACCTTGTTATTTTCTATTTCATAATTTCTATGGCATTTCTAATCCACATGTATAATCTATTTATCTTCAAGTTGAAAGTATTTTTTTGTTGGTGTGTTATGGTTTCAGGTGCTGTATGTAATCACTCAAATTCAACCTGTCACTCATATTCTTGTATAGCATGTGGTTAAATAAAAATTCAACTCATAATAAATTTATGACACCTTTTTTATCATTTCTACCTTTACCTGAAATACTACATGAAAGAGCAGACACTGAAGCAATGGTGGTCAGGAAACATTAACACCATCGTATTGTTATTCGTAAAATTGATCTTTTAATACACTTCTTAAAGGATTTTTTTTAAAGATTAACAGCAAGTTTACAGCACAGTTAATGATGTTTATAGAATTCAAAAGCAAATTCAAAGTAGTAATATTTTAAGAATTTTATTTTCCTTCAAGCAAGTGCTAAAATTTAAGTGATCATATTTGTAAAACAATAAAAAACACAAACTATAAATAAATTTGTTAATAGAAAAATGGTTCTTGTTTTACTTTTAAAAAGCAGGTGTTCTTTCTAGTTTAACAAATTGAAGACAGCAATAATATTTAAGAACAAACAACAATATGGCAGCTTAAAACAAAATATTATTTCAAATATGCGATATTAAATGGTCTGACAGTCTGACCAGTAGTATAGAGAAGAAGTTTAAATAAATTTAAGTTGATTTAAATTTTTTTTTAACAGAGCATGATTATAGGCAATATAAATGACCACTTCAAATGTGTTGGCGTTATTTCAATAATGGTTTACTTTGGTGATGAATTTAAATCAAAAATATATAAAAAATTGCCTCTAAAGACAACCCAAAATAATTTTAACATTTTATATCAGTTTCAAATAAAGAAAGTTTTAATAAGCTCCATAACATGCTTTACATTCTAAGAGATGGTTTTACAAGTGGTTTTATTTCTATAGTTATAAAGATTGACAATCAACTTGACATGACCAGACTGTTTGTCACCAGATAATCATCTTATAACAAGATGAGTAATGGCGTTAAAGGAACACTTACAGGTGCAACCTACCAAACTCTACCAACTCTTCAAATAAATGTTAATTATAGTTTAAATTTTTAATAACATGTTGTGCTTTGCCAAGCAAACAATTAAATGAATTGCATCCGCTATAAATAAAGGATCAATGCATGTGTTTTTAGATATATCTATAAGTGCCATTTCTTTGCAAGAATCTGTTATTAATATGATTTACTGGTAATATAATATTGTTGGTCCAAGTTGCGCTTATGAAAATATTTTTTTCATATTCATTAAGAACTCTTTATAATAATATTAATAATAATAAGATTGTTTAAACAGGAAACTCTCATCACAGAGTTTTTCAGAGAGGTCCAGCAAAAAATTTTTTTGATTGTCCGCAAGGACAAGCAAACATGAATTGAATTTAAGTTTAAACTACTGTGTTTGACACTAGCTTGGGCAAGTAATTGCTGAATAAATCCTTTATAATATAAGCTAGTCAAGCAATAAAACGACAATTACACCTATTATAACCATGACCTTGAGATAAGGCTGACTGATGACCTTCAAAAGTTAGAGCTGACAAACGTTGTTATGTAATATATACCAAGCACATGGTTTATGCTGATATAATCATTGATATTTTGACATACGCTTTAAGCTGTTTGCTATATTAATAAAAGTCATATTATGTGTAATAAAAGCAAACTTTTGTACAAGGAAAAGATGTCGACTTCTAAAATATCTGAGAAGGAAACAAAACAATTTTCCTTAAGGAAGACAACGATGACGAAAGATCAATATAGATTTTTGAAGTAATAAAAAGCATATTTTTAATATCTAGGTGTTTTAAAGATTTCTAACTATCTGAATACTGAAAAAAAAAACATTTTAATTTGAGAATATAAAAAAATGACTGAGCAAAATATTTATTTCTTGCAATCATTCATTATAGATGATTTCTTGCAGACAAATTAAAAGGAAAGCATGCATTGATTTTTTTTCAATGTACTTGTATATGTTTCAGAAATTCAGGACTATTTTCTCTTCTTACTTAACTAAAGCGATTTCCAGACATTTCTTTCTACTTCCTTCGAAAGCATAAATGCCTTGGACAACGTTTCATCTTCCAATAGGTATTTGGCCATTTAAACTTAAATCATATATTGACCTATTACTCCAGAGGAGGTGAACATACATGCATTTACCACACACTAAGCAAGAAAAACACTAGTAACACTAGTAACACTAGACAAGTCAAAGGGTTCACCAGACTTAAGCATTTCAGACACAACATGATGCTCTAGACATTCGTGATTATCCTGCACAAACACCAATATATTATTACCTTATTGGCCAACGAAGTTTATAAAATCAATTAACTTCATGTGTAAATCCAGAAATAGTATATAACAGTAGTTTAAGAGGAAATTTTTTTCAATAACGACAATAATGGCAAAAAGCGCCGAAAACTAGACCTTCGTATGAATTTTGATCCCAATTTTCGTTTTTTCTGATGTACTATGATAAAAATGCTTGTTTGAAGCAGTATTTTCAATTGTACAAAGATGTTTTGTTGCATTTGCGTTAGAATATAGCTTTGTCAGGCTTTTTTATAGGAAATGTATGGGAAATAAGCAAACGAAGGCCTAAACCTCATTTTCGATTCAAATTTTTGCTTTGGGTGAACACTTTGATTCCACTTTCATCAGTCATCACCACTTCCAAACAAGTTAAACTTTCTGAATAACAAGATTTTAGCCTTGTACAACAGCCTTTCTTCAAGAAAATTGTTTTTGGCGCTCACCGCTTGAATCAAGCTATGACAAATAGCTAATACTTCTAAAGACAAAACAACTTCAAGTAGAACAGAACAAGCAAGAGCATATATATCAAGTTTGTCTAAAAATCCTGAATTTGGCTTGTCTTGAGGAGATGTTATCTTAAGCTTTGACCCTTCTGAGACTCAAGAGTTTGATTAAAAGTTCCAAAACGATTTGTAATTTACTCCAAAGATCGTCTTTGGGGGAGTAGTAGATCTTAAACCTTAACCTTTTGGCAAGCATATGCAACACGTCCTTGAATGGGTAAATATTAAATTTCCAGGTTTTGATATTCTGCGAACTCGGCAGTTATAAACTGCATGATGAAATTTGATTTTTTGCTTTTGTCAATCTAAAATAATCATAACCTTTCATATTTATGACTGGAGGCAGTAAAAAAAACAATTTTACGACAATAGGTTGAACTACCTGAGTTCACAGAATATCAAAAACCACCGTAATCTTTCTGAGAACATAATTTTTGACTTAGACAAAACAAACATAACAGGGTGTTAAAGGGGGGTATGAATCACATTTCACAGAAAATAAACCAGTCAAATCATGTCTAGCAAAATAATGAAAATGGCCACTTCACATTTCAAGAAAAATAAAAAATGGTCAAATCATGTTTCATGAAATAACGTTACCACCATGACAATACCTGAAGACCTCAGTGCAAGGTTGAGAAACTCAAGCTTTACAATTTATTTTTAATTGGAAAAATCTCAACTATTCATGATAGAGTAAAAATTTTTCCTCTTTTTTCCTTAATTATATAATCAAGTGGGTGATATCGTTCACGCAAAACATCTCCTTAGTATGTGTAAGTTTGCTGTTAGTGTTATGCAATAGATAACAAAGAAATAAAACGTCGTTTCCTAACCAAACTTCTTTCCTCGCCACTTTGGCAAAAAATATAAATAGAATTTCACACGTTTTCAAGGAATTTTTCGAGGTTTATTCAGGCTTGCTACGTGACCGGAAGTTGCCCACCATTGCATTGGCTAAATATGACGGATAATCTTTATGTAAAAACCATCAACATTTCAAGTATATATTGATTTATCACCGAAGCCATCATTCGAATTTTCTCTCAATAATCGAAAATCTATACATTTTTTTCTTGTACCAAAGTAAGCTTACGAGTTCACATCAAAAACGTGCACCAGTTAGCGCAAATCCTTCATAAAATTTTTACGAATTAAAAGATCGGCAATACTAAGGATACAAAGACTGTATAAATTAAAAATCTATTTTAAAACATAAGCGCATTCTTTGAAAACCTTGGGTTTTTCAAATTCACTTTCGATAGAAAAGACAACTATAACTCGAAAGGTTGAATGTTCATTCGAAACGAAGGATTTCTCCGGCCGTATTTAAACGAATACTTCTAAGTTAATGTATGCTAAATAGGGTCTCCGGGGCTCCCGAATATAAATAATGAAGATTATGTATGTAAGGACGTAATTGGGTTGCTTGTTCGGGAGTTTAAGCAAAAGTTGTGGCGAAATTCTGGTGTAAATGCGCTTAAAACCAAGCGGAACTAACGCCCCAGGCCTATACAAAAATAGAATCGTCTGCAAAGTTAAATTAATCGGGTTGCAGACGACATTTCAGACGTTTTCAGACGAGAACTATCCCAGCCAGACAATGACCACTAACCAACAATAATACTTAAACAAAACCCAGACAAAATAAGTCTTTCTAAGTTTAGCCACCGATTTACGCTCGTTGGACTTCCATGGCGGTCAAACCACACGGCCCAAGGTCATAGGAAAAAACGACATATAAAATACTCGCACTTCTCGAGCGAATCTCAAATGCAAAATAGCTCTCAAGCTGTGGTGCAAACAATAGCTGCGCAGCTTTAGGAACGACAGCCCACTCCCAAAAAATTTGCATTCATCTTCGACGACTACATGAATTAATGAGTCGAGCGGGACAAATAATTCTAGCTGATTCAAAGGGGTGTAAATACGCCAGACTCAGACGCCTACTCAGACATGTCCCGACTACACTGTCGTGATCTCGTAAGCAATTCGACTAGGAAAAGGTCAAAAGTGGCCTCTACCTCGGTGGCGGCTTTAAAAAGAAAGCGGAAAACCAAAATGCTTTGAAGTTGACGTTTAATATTTACGGGGCAGGCCTTGGTGCCCTGCTGGAGTTGTGGCACAAAGAGTTGGGTACCTTCGAAACACGTACGAAATTAAACACACACCAAGGAATTGGAGATTTTGGGTCCCTTACAATAAAATTATCAAAGGAAAAATTGAGTGGGGTTGTACTTTCGAGAGCGGTGAAAGATAAGTCCCAAATATTATTTTATTCCGTAGGCTTTTAGTTCGTGTCTCCATCAAGACGAAGGCACATCTCTCACGCTGAGGTGGACATAAAACCACAACACGGGTTCACCTCAAATGAATTCAAAATCAATGTGAAATAAAGGCAAGCTAGATGGCTAGAGATACTCACCGGCTGGGCTACGAATACGCTCATAGTGGTACGGATTGACACAAACACTCTCATATTTCAAATCATAACCATATCGGCAGAAGTCCAAGTGTTTCATTTCCATTTTTTGAATATCTGGCCATCGCCATAACCTAGCGTAAATTACATGAGGAAAGCCTTTACGCTCACAGACTTGTAGTCTTCCGTCCAAAGTTCTTTGTATCGTAACACACTTGGATGGTTTAGCTCCATTTGTAGTGATCGTAGTTATTAAAGACTCTAACTCATCCGTCTTTTTTCGAAGTTTCTTGACCAAAGACTCTATAGCTCTCTTGGCAAATTTCTCGGGTTCACCCCCTTGCCTATGACAAGTTGTATGGCACATCAGGCTGAGTACGATACTCAAATTCGCATCTGATGAACTTGGCGCTCTCTTCTGACTCGTCGACGGGGCCATACTCTTCTCCATTTTCGGATCCTTCGACCCTCAGTCTTTATCTTTTCAAATCCCAGCCATTATTGGGTCATTCTGAAGTAAATAGCAGAGGTTTTTAGGACCCATCCTCATCGTAGCTCTCTCATGAGAGAAAACAACTTGAAATGCGCAGAAACACGTCTAAACTGAGACCATAATTGACATGTACTTCGGAATCTTTCGACCAATCACATCTCAAATTGTACAATAATAATTGCCTCTTACACGAGTTTGTGTCCATCAAAATGAGTGACAGGTCATTGTAAACAGCTCTAGATTCCTAAAGGACGTTGAGTTTTTGGTCGAATTACGTACGCGAATATTAGTTTTTTGCGCCTAAAAATTATAAGAGTGTATTTGTGTTGATTCCAACGATGTTTAGAAGTATATTAGGACAAGCATTCTGTCACGTACAATAATTTTTCTGATAAATTTCCGGTTTTGAGTCACTCAGCTAGCATCTGTTTTTGCATAATAGGCCGTCATGTATTAGATTTATTAGAGCCATTTCTACCTTCACCGCCAATGACTATAGGAAACATTTTTCAACGAAGATTTCCATTCTGTTTTATAGTCGAACTATTTCGATAACATCTCGTCTTAACTTCCAACAGAATGATAACGATCCCACCAAACCAGTTTCCCGCCATTTTAATCTAGCTAACCATTCTCTTTCTGACTTCATTGTTTTCGGTCTTTCTTTGCTTAACGGCAACAATGATTGTCGCAAGACCAAAGAAATGCGGCTTATTCACCTATTGGGCACTCTTAGTCCCAACGGGATTAATGAACGCTTTATTTTCAACTAACCTTTTCTTTTGTCTTTTGATTGTTTGTTTTTGTTTCCTTGCCTACCTTGCTCTCATTGGTTTCTTTTGTCTTATTCTATCATATATACACTCCTTTCTACCACTTCTTTCTCTTTTACTCCGACGAAGGACTAGCGTCCGAAACGTCAGTAAGTTTTTTCATCTTTTCACGGTGTATAATTTACCTTTTCATCATTACTGTTCCAACAGAATGGTTGAATTCATAATGATAATTTGCATGACTAACCACTTCAGTGCAACAAATTTATCTTTATTATACACGATTTCTTACCCCCTGTAAGATTCTTAACACGAAAGCAGAAAAAGACCAGTATCTAGGGCTTGAAGATCGAGAAATATGGCAAATCTTCGTCATTCTTAAAGGATCTTTTATTGTGTAAACAATACCTGTTCGGACACATACAGACATATCAATATGAACCAAATTTAGCATATACTTTAGCCAAAAACTTTTAAAATGAAAATGATTAAAGATTGATATCGTTTTTAAAGAATTTAAGAAGATTTCTCGATGCTTTCTCGAAGAAGAAGGCTCGAATCACGAGAAACGACCAGCAAATGTCACATTTTGAGCCTCAATGTGGTGCTGGAGAGTAGAAGGGGTCGGGTAGTAAAGAGCGGTCGCGTGAAAAACTCTGTTTTGATCGGTTTATTTTGGTCCAAATTGACCCAGTGGCTTGTAAAACGCTTCAGACACACTCCTGGTAAAGCAACGGCGGAAAGACCGTCTGGAAAGCGTCCTTGTTTCTGTCTGGTTGTACGTCTGGTAGACCGTCTAGGTCGCTTATGTCTGCTTATGTCTCGTTTTAGGCCATCACGGCCTGCTAACGTCGACTCGCTTCGCCACGCATCCAAAATAAACCCCACTAATTTGCATTTCAAAGGATTTAGCGCTTTTCGTTTAAAACCACCTTTATTTGATTTAACTGTCGGTTTTTCTGGAACCTCGATGATCAAGATTGTTTTTGGAGTTCGTTTCCTTTACAAATTAAGAAGAATATTTTGTATTTTTTTAGTTAAAAGCGTAAAAAAATGTTTGTTTGCATTATGACGTCATTCCATCGAGATCTCATGAGGTCTTTTTGTGTTTCAAAGAGAGCCATCAAAAATCCCCCTAGGAATATACAGTTTGGATTTACTTTTTCGACAAGAAAAGAAAAGGGAAAATTCCAATATTTTTAGTTATTCAAATTTGACTTAACTAAATCAATAAGATTGCAAAAAAATGTTTTCTGAGGGATTCGGGTCATGTTTGTAAGGCGCGGGGGCGTATCAGTGATATTGTTCGGGATCAATGCTAGACATATTGGCGCTACGTTTATTCACTCGATTCTCGTAGCTAAGAGTAAGTCCAAGTAAAATCAATAATAATAATGAGAAACAAGTAAATTTAGATCGAAACAGAACTCAAACAATTGGCTCAGAATTGGGAAAATTTTTGCTCGAAGCGTCGTACGTGGCCGGCTCAAATATAGTTTCTAAAAGCAAATCAATAATAAGCCACTGGCCGTATCATATTTTCATGAACATCTTTTTTATTGGGATTTTTGCTTGGGATAACTTTTAATTTTCATCCTTATATATAGATATTCAAAAACCTTGTGAACGGTTCGATGTACACCTGTCTAAATCATGCAGGTGCTCCAACACTTCAGGTGTCAAACTTCTTTTTTCAACAACCAGAAAAAAAGGAAAATGCATCATTGGTGTTAGAGAAAAATTCTTATCACATTGAAAAAAAAAAAAAAAACCCAGAATCAAAAAATAGTGACTTTTGGAAGAAGATTGTCATGCGTGGCGGCCACGTGAGTTATAATAATGTGGAGGGAAGTAATTTGTCAACGTTTGACCATTTTTGCTACTCCGAAGCAAGATAAATTCAACAATAAATCTTAATTCTTGACCGGCACGTCAGTATTGCCAGCATTCATCGCCTCGCATTTATGATTTTGATAAATGTTTTTTTTCTTTTGTCATTTTTGTTGTTTAATCCTTATGAGCTTAAGACTTTGTTCGTTAGTTTTTTTTTTCTTCTAATGATTTTTATTGCGTTCTTTTCATTTTATCACTAGTGAAACCACCACGGATTAACACTAGGATCATTCGGACGTTCAGAACTGTCGTCAGGATTCAGTCTTATGATAATTACTGAATGACAATGGGCCACTTCGAATTGTGTTTTAGTCGTTTGAAATTACGCTTCCTTCTCTCTTTCTTTTTGTACTTTCTTTAAGCAATTACAAAGCTGCTTCTCTACTTGCGTGTTATTTGCTTTAAAATTCAAAAACCCCGGCATTCTATTTAGTTATTACTCCCGTTACGATATTAAACGAACCCTAAAACAATCCTAATGATACATGTTCTTGTCGTGTGAACACATTTCATAACATGACCATTAATTTTCCGCTACAAACTATATGAAGTTAATATACAGGACTCGTGAGTTCTTTTTTGTTGGAAGAGGACATTTCTCTGTTCTTTTTAAAAAATATAAAAAATACTAAGCCACACTACACTGAGACGTGTGGTGTGGTAGCTTTGCCTTGTTTAAAAGAAGTCCTTCATGACGGTTCGACAAAGCCGGAAATTCTTCGAATAGTCGGCTTGAGTCACTCATTTTTGATATGTGTTTCTTTTACTAATCCCAACTCTCTGGCCTTTTGAATGAGGCGACCCAATCAGATGGTCACTTATGACACAAAGAAACCAGTTTCCTGGTAATTGACGGTTCAAAGAGAATAGGTATCAACGAAGGTGACAAGAGCTAAGTCGGTCAAGGTCAGCTTACGTTGCTCAGTAGTCAAGATTATCAATTGTTTTTTTTCATTATTCACTATTCCTTTTCTTGTTCTTCAAAGAAAGATATAATTGCTATTTTCTTCATTCAGGCTCCGACATCATCCTCCGTTTGAATCATGTGGCCTCACCTGACTGCGTTTTTTTAAAAGTTGCGCCTATGGCTTTTGTATATAATTATAAATTAATGTTATCATTAATTTCTTCATTTTTTTCCTTATCCTTACTTTCTTATCATTGCTGTTTTTTATATTTCTTTTTCCTGTTGTTTATTCCTTTTTTTTCCCTTCCTTTTTTCAGTTTTCGTTCTCAGATATTTCCTCTTTTTCTGTAGTGATACGTTGTTAAACAAAAGCTGGTTGGAAGAAACTCAGAAGTAAACCAAACTAAGTACCCGGAGAGATGAAAAAAACTATATTTAGTAAACCCCTTCTGGAATATGGACTGATTAATTTATATAGTGTCCTTCGATGAGCACATGGTTCACAAAATCCTATCACATAATGATATACCCTCGAAGGCTTCGGCTTCTCGGCCAACTGCTCTTTTCTCGGAGCAGTTTTTCATCCTCGGACATTGAATATCAGCCATTATTTCAGCCGCGAAAAAATATTTATTTGCTAAATATCTCAAGGCCGTAATCAGTTTTATCATATGACCCGTACGGCCCTGCTCGCGCGCTCTAATAAAACCATTGGAAAAAGTTACGTGATGGGGGCCGGACGGGTTGACGTAAGCGGGCCGGAAAAACCCGTCCGGCCCTGCTCGAATCCGCGCGCTTTCTTTTT